CTTATGTCCTCGGCCGCTTTGGAGGATTCTGTTCTTCCCACGCGGCCTCACGAACTGACATCCGAGCTGCTGCTAAAGTACAACCTGCGATGATCGAACCTCCCACTATTATGTGGATGGTCCCCCGAACTGGCCTCTCTTCCGGAGGTTGCCTCTGTGACTGTTGGCCGGCCTGCTGCTGGACTCGGGAGCATCCTTACCGTGCTCCCCTTGCCAACCTGGTTTTATTATTATTATTATTATTATTATTATTATTATTATTATTATTATTATTATTATTATTTTGTACAAAGTTCCTTAAATATCCGCGACGGATGAGCTCCTCAATCTCATCGCGGAGGTTTTTACAACTTTTAGTACTATGACCGTGATCTCTGTGAAAACTGTAGTACAGATTCTTGTTTCTTTCATTGGGATTTCCCCTCAAACGGGGTGGCCACTTCACATACGGGGCATCCTTGATTGCCATCAGGATTTCGGCCTGCTTCGCATTCAGTGGGGTGTAATCAGTTTGGTCCGCTACTGGAGCTCGGAACGACTGACTCGGCTTTGCCCCCCGAGCTGCATCCTTTTTCTTTCGGCTATCCCCTTGACCGGAAGGCTCTCCTTCCCTTTTCCTCTTTTCGGGCGTGCCCTTGCCCTTCTAGCTGATCTCTTCTTCGGTGGCTATAAACCTATCTGCGAGCTTAAGAAATTCGGTTATGGTCGCCGGTTGGTTGACGACCATGTGCCATTTGAACTCTTTATGCATCACGCCTTTCTTGGCTACTGCGAGGCACACGGTGGGGTCCAGGTGCGGTATCTGCATGCACGCATCATTGAACCGCTTGATATAGCCCCGGATGGACTCTCCCTCTCTTTAAACTATGCTGAGGAGACTTTCTTCAGTTCGCGGGCATCGCTTGTTGGTGACGAAGTGGGACGTGAAGGCTTGCGCGAACTGCGCCCAACTTCTTATTGATCCGGGTGCTAGGTTCCGGTACCATGTACGGGCTACTCCTCTGAAAGTGGTGGAGAAGGTCTCGTACATGCACGATTCACTGGCTCTCGCCAGGTGCATCTGCGACTGAAAGGCGTCCACGTGATCATTTGGGTCGAACGACCCGTCGTACTTGTCAAGAGGGGGAGCTTGAAATCTTTAGGCATTGGGACTGCCAGGAGCTCGGGAGATAAGGGGGATTGAACTAAAAGGAGGGGAGCCTTGACTTCGCCCGAGCTTACCTCTTCTTTGCCTTCGAGCTTGGGCAGGTCACGGGTGATAGATCAGCGAGCTCGGCAGCAGCGTCTTTGCTTCTTGGTAGGCTCGGCGTTTGTGCTGCTCACCTCTGTGCTGTCAGGGATAGTGTGTGCAGGAAGTAGCTCAGGCCGCTGGTGATGGCTGCGGACAGAGGGATACTGCTTGGAGCCTGTGGCCAAGATCTCAAACCGGTTCTCTAGGAACGGGGTATCGGGCTTTGAGGGCTGAGGCAACGTGGACTTGGCGAGCTGAGGTCCTCCCGACCTAACTGCCCGCGGTGAGGCCGGAGTGGCTGGTCTTTCTCCTCTGCTGTGGGAGGAAGCCTGGCTCCTAGGAGGGTTCTAGGGGGCCTCTCCCTGGCGAGAAAGGTGCTCCTCCTGATGGTGAGACTTAGCTCACTGCGAGGTTGGGTGCCGAGGAGGGAGCTGCGGCTACTGAAGCTGAGGTTGAGGCAGTTGAGGGAATTGTTGTTGATACTGGTAATGGGAGACCTGGTGTAGCACCTGTTGCTGATAGAGCTGGAACTGTTGAAACTATTGCATTTGGGCCTGCATGGCCCGCATGCACTGCACCAAGTCCTCCAGTTGATTCGGGTTGGCCGCTGGGGGCACAATCGAGGGTTCGGTGAAGGTTGCTCCGACTGTAGTAGGGAGTGGAGCAATGACGGGTGCCCCTGTAAGAGGCACGTTCAAACTAGGGTTCCCATCCGCTGAGAGGGGGACAGTGAACTGTTCGATGCAGACAGTAGGAAGTTGGGGCTGTTCCCTGGAGTTATCCATCTCCGTGCTTCGTCCGATGTTGCTTAAGGAAGCCATGAGTGTCAAGTTTTCAAGGAAGAAAGAGCTGTGAAGGTTTAGAGAAAGGCTTTTCGAAGCGTATCCCACAGACAATACCAAATGATGTAGCGCGATCCGGTCACTCCTAACTGGCACTCACGTGGCTCCTAGAAGATACCTGAGATGAAGAAGAAGAAGAAGAATCCTCGGGGGCTTGCCCGATAGGAACACTCCGATGCTTAAGTTAGTACTCTGTAGGAGAAGCAAGGAGAAGACGAAGGCTAAGAGTGCAGATAGCATGTTATCACTATACTCGAGAGATTAGAAGTCTCAAGAAGAAGTTTCTCTTCTACCCCAAGGGATTTTTAATGGGGCGTTCATGTCAGGTTGGGCATAACCGCCACTGGGCTCCTGCCACAGGCGTTACCTGGTAGGGCTGCGCAGGTGGCCGTTGTGACGTACTTCTCGCCTGGGTGAGTGACACGTCTCCAAGGTGGCAGGCACGCCTCCACCTGCTGAGAGACGTGGACGCAGACTGTCGAAAGGACAGGGACTGCGCCGTCAGTAAGGAACGTGGCACAGTCCAATCGGTACGGCCTGTCAGATAGAAGCTTCCTGAGGAGCGCTCTCATTCATGAGCTCGGAACACTTCAGGATTACCCTTGATAGATTTGGTCCTTGGGATGACTTGTCTGCTTGGGAGCTCGGGCGAGCTAGTTCCCCTAGCTCGCGAGCTAAAGTTGCCTTAGAGTATCCCTTCAAAGGTAGCTCGGGGAACCCGGAGCTCGCGTTGTGGCGAGCTTCTCCTTTTGTGAGCTACAATGTAGCGAGCTGCTTTATAAGCCCGTCATTTGGTCGCACTAGGCTGCAATGCTGAGTTATCGCTCGTACTGAGTCAATGTCCACGTGTCACCGTTTCATAGATCGGATCAAATTGTCCTCCATCATATACTATCGGATTGAATTCGGATATACCCTTATTTGAATCCAATCCGATCTATATGCATCCCTCGTTGTTCTGTGGAGTAGAGAAAGAGAAAACTTACTAATACGAATCGTCTCTTAGCATTCATAAGGCGCTACTTAATTAGATGCTTTAAAAGAGAACAATAATTAAAAGTTGAAGAGATACCAATGGCAATTGGTAGAGTCATTAATGGCGAAGATGCATTGGTAAAAGTAACCATTTCAGAGGAGAAACCGTGAATTAAATCATTAAATAGGCTTGTTATTTTTTAAGAAAAAAACTAAAAATTCAAATAATGAGAAAAAAAAAAGATAAATAGATTTGTTGAAAGGAGAGACGTTGATAGGAATCGATCAACACCCTTGAATACTTATTCTAGAAAGAAGGCCTTACAACAGGTCCTGATATGAAATAGTGATGACACTTGGGATTTGGACTGAATTGATACCAAGGGTATTTTTGTCGTTTTTGCAATTTTCTATGGGGTCTAATGATATGGTTTAAATTATTAGTTATAGTTTGTTTATGTTTAAAATTTCTAAGTTATTGCATAAGTAGGATTAGAATTGTTGAGTCTTCTTTGAATTGAAATAGGATATGACAACTTAGTTTGAATCCTACTAAGATTATTAAGTCTAACATTTTGACTCCTAAGACTATTGTGAGTCTAACAGTTTGATTCAGAGTATAAATATGTATGGACGTTTTACACAAAGGCAATGATGTTTATTGAGTTTTTTCAGCTTATGCTAGCTATAGTGAGTGATTCCCATGCCTTAGAGTGATTCTAGGCATCCTGTGAGTGATTCCAGGTATTTTTCTCTCTTCTCTCTCCCTATTCTCTCTTATTTCTTCAAGAAGCCATTATAGTCATTGGCAACCATAAAACTCTGATCAATAAGACCATTCAACATTCTCTAAGGACTAAAACTGAGTTGGTCCTACATCAGACATGCTGACATGACACATCCAATTTTATTATATATGCCATTAGAATGTGATGGTACACTAATGGTAGGGGTAGAGGTGCTTTAAGGCATTTTGAAACAGTAAAGGTAGAATTAATTAATTTCGTAAAATTTAAGAAAAATTTAAGTATTTTTTTATCCATAACCACATTTCATTAATTAATCACAAAAGTTATTACAAGGAGGAAGATAAACTTTCTTATCTGGAGCTTGAGTATTTTACCCAAAATAAAGGGTACAACAACCTATAGCGTCGTTAGGGATTGGGAAGTACCAAATAGCCATACAATTTAACAAGAACCCCTTAAAAACAGGTGTTTTGATGAGCGCAGTCAGGTCAGTTCTACCTTCTAAGTATTAAGGTGACCCATTTTCAGATATGTTGTGTATAATTGACACACCCCGAATAAAGCGAGGATCAGCGTTCTAAGGCATGTGCCTTGAATTGTAGCTTGGATAAAAAACCGAGTTTGAAAAAGCCATTTGGCGAAATGAGTCTAAGCTAAGCTGGGGAAAACTGTCTGTAAACAATTCTAATTTCTTCAGATTATCTTAAAAGATTAAGGGATCCGTTTAATTAGCAATTCCAATCAGAAATGAAATCCAACAGAATCAGAATAGTCTATTCCCCTGCATATATGGTTCAAATGGAAATTGGAATCATCTAGAATGAATTCTCATTCCCGACAAATGGGAGAATGACATTTCACCAGGAATGAGAATAAGAATGGGATTCCGATGCCCTCCAACCAAAGTATTAGAATTGAATTGGGTCATTCTGATTCCGATTCCATACCTCTCTATTCCTGCAAACCACAATGGATCCTAGATTCTTGTAATGCTTTGGCCCTTTGAACACCAAGCCAGAATTTTCAAGATTAGCTTCAAAGACTTCAATTTCCTAATGCAGTCGGGAAATTCAGGATTTTCAATATATGTTTTGTTTGATAAAGCAGGATTTATGGCCGAACGCCCACTGAAAAGAAAATACAAAATAGTGACAGATGACACCACAATCAATTCCAGAGAAAAGAAATAAACTCCAATGCAAAGAACTGGAAATCACGCACAAACTAAGCACATTTATGAATTGTTTGCAGTAAAGTTGTTGAGAACAAGAAAGAGAAACTTCATGTACCAAATAAAAAAGACTAATTAGCAAAGCAAGCACGTCATCTCATCAAGGAGAACTTGTGCAGCAACCATGGTTTTCCAACAGAGCTGCTGTATGATAAGAAGACAGCTATTTACAAGACCAAGAATATCTACACTTAGAAACACATTAATAGTAAGTAACAAGCAAAACCAAACTGTTTAGACAATAACATTATTGATTTTAATTTTTTAGTAACCATCTAAATTGAGTCTCCAGGTATACAGTTCCAGTTCAGTAAGGCACTATAACGGATTCTATAAGCTCTTGAAGTGGTGCTAGCTCCTTCTTGTCAATCAAAGCAAATTCCTGCATAGAACCATACAACATGTAAACTAAGGAGTGATTTTAGCATTCGGCAACAAAGAATAACAGAAATCTAGTTCAGAAGAATTTTTGTTAGTAGAGTATGGTAAATCAACCCTGTGGTCCTGCCACTTGGCAACTGGTCATACTTCATCTTTCAGATGCAAATTGAACCACTTTATTCATATTGTCAGAATTAAGGGACCTACTCTTCCCTGGTGAGGCAGCCACTAACGTTTTATGGTTCAAGAGGAATTCTCTGGGTTACTCACGAGTCAGGACCAAGATAGATGTTTTTTTTCATTGGCAACAGTAAATTTTACTAATTAAAATGAAAAGAATTAGATGTGTACAAGTGTGTTAACACCATAGAGGCTGGCTGCTCCACGCCTCCACCTTGCCCCTCATGTTGCTTACATTTCATTTTACATTAGGTATCCCCAATACAGTAGTGATCTCAATTTGGAAAACCCTATTCTCTTAAAAAATAAACCATAGTTCTAATACAAGCTCCTTTTTCATTTTTTACTAAGGAATAAATTTCTTCAAGACAACAATAAAAAACTATTTTAACTTTGGAAATGTCCAGTGTGGGCTTCTACAGTGCTAGATATTGTTCATGATTTCTGTTCAATAAATCTGTATAGAGGATATTTAATGTCCGGATCAAATAAGTAAAGGACATGGTACCATCCAGTGCCCCCGGATCCAAGTCAATCCCTAGACAATAAGGTTGATCACCATGAATCTTGAAATGGTCCAATTTGTAAATTCTAAATGTTTAAGCCATATGAAATGGATAAAAGTTGCAATACATATGATCAATGAGTCTTAAAGCATGCCTTAAATTGGGAAACAAAGCTAAGTAAAACTTTTGCCATGGTAAGAAATTCTTACACATGTGAATAGTATGAAATGCTTGAAGCAGGTGTTGAGATGAGCTTCTTCCTTAAGACTCACAATTTTCTGGAAATGTGAGTGATATATGTGAGCATACACACGAAACAGGCGTTTAAATATGGTCTTCACAACTTCTTTGAAGTTGGGAGGGAAGGGTGTGCCTACAAAAGTGAGGTTAGAATGTTACACTTACAACATGAACCAATTATGTTGAATTTACCATAATAACCATATCATCAAAATTGACATGATTACATGCTCAGAGGTAAAATAATCATTCAATATATCCTTTTTTTTTTTAAAGGTTCAGTATATTGTATTAATGTCAAAAGCATAGAAGGTCCTCTACAATGAGATGCTGTTACAAATATAATCAGTACTAGGACCCCCCCCCCCCAAAAAAAAAAATAAATAAATAAAAGAAAGTCCACCCTCAAAAAAAATTTGCATAGAAAACATCATCTTTTTTTTTGATAAGTTAGAAAACATCATCTTTAATACATCAGAAATGGACATCCAGCCCCTGAGTTCGTCCAGCAGTACAGGGTCTTTCTGCTCAAAGACCCTGTTGTTTCTTTCCACCCAAATAGCCCACAAAACTGCAGTATTGATGGCAGACCATAAGTATCTGCCCTTTTTGGTCATGCCACAAAAAAGTTGCAGAAATAACCATTCAATATATTGCCAAAGAGATCTCTTGCATAAAAATAGTTTCCATGATGACATCCAGTTATCACACCCTTCTTTTGACCATAAAAAATATATTGCAGATGTCCAAAAAATGTGGATAAGATGGTCAGGTTTACAAAGTTGTGCCAATGTTTGGCCTTGGTTATTTTACTATGTGAGAAATCTTTTATTGTTGAAGACAATCCCCTGGGGGTTGGGCTTCATTAGGTTTAATCAGAATAAAATTTATAAGACAAATCTGCTGTACAAAAACTGGCATCAGATACTTACCAAGTTTTTGAGGAAATATTGACTCGTCATCAAGCTGAGATTCTATCCAGTCCATGAGGTATTCAACATATTTTGGTGCAGAAACCTCAATTGGTTTCTTAATTTGTACGCCATCTGCCCATCTATACTCATACCTGTGGAGTTTAATCCACATAAATTCAGGAACTCAAATTTTATATGAATGACAAACGTATTTCTTGTTCTAGGATGCACACATTAGGCAATTGATGGAGAGTTCAGAAGAAAAATTGATGAGCCCCCCCGAAGGGATTGCAGCCACTATCAAGCCTTCAAATAATGAAAATAGGGGGTAATGATCTTGCATCCTTACCATATACTGTTTTAACAGTTGCAGTGGCCATAATGAGAATTTGAAATTTTCTAAATTATGTTAAAATTAAAAAGTGATAAAAAAAGTATTTTAAGATGAAGAATGCTATATGCCTACTTGTATGATGAGATGAAGTCATCTACTTGCACCCTTTTAGGGGTGCTTATGTCTTTTCATGTAGGACATAGGAAGAGATTTTGGTGATTGAAGAACCCATGAAATGGAAACATGTATGATGGTATGAGTAGATGAGTTTCTGTTTCTCCCATGATGTAGCAACTTGTCTAGACTCTTATCACTCTAGACAACCTCCTGAAACATCCATTGGATTGGTGAACTCTCTGAATTGGCCACGTGGCCCCTTCCACATCTAGCCTGTATCCAACCTTGTATTAGAGATCTACCCAAATATTTTTGGTTTTTAATTTAAAAAATCAGAAAAGAGGACTTATTTTGGTGAGACATCACAGGTTTTGGGGGTTGAAATTTGCCCTTGAATGAGGGAGGTAAACTGAGGGGAACATGTCGAACATGCTTGGGCTTCTAACCATGATTCCACATGGAAGATTTCTGGGTTGTTTTTTCTCATACATTTCTTTAGTGATTCTTCCCTACAGACGTGATGGGACTTGTGAAAAAGGAAACTACAAGACAAAGTTGGACCTCTTTTCATGGGTCCCACCTTGTCTGTAAGGTGCAGCATAGGAGTTGCACTCTGGCATTGTTTACTAACACTCCTCTAAACACATAACTAAAAAATATGAAAATGTTACAAAAGTCCAAAGTTAACTTTAGTAGACCACTATTATGGGGAAAACATTTAATTGGTGTCATTTCATCAGGGCAATAACAAAATGTGTATTTTGTTCAGAAAAAAAATGAGATGTTTAACAGAAACAATATATGGCCATTATAGCACCAATGATAGCATTTTATTATGGTCATTATCAAAATCAACCTTGTTTCATTTATCTCTTAACTCACTATCTTACTCAGACAAGCTTTGGTGGTAATTTCATATCCATTTATATTTGGTGGAACACAACTCTGAAATGTTTATCTATAGACCAAACAGAGAACTAATATGCAGTAAGTCATACTTAGGGCCTGCTGTCATTGTAGGACAATTCTCCGGGGTACAGAACTCAGTGAGGGTGCCATAGAGTAGATTCACCTGATTGAAGAAATCCACAGCTGAAAAAAATGAAAAACCTCAATTATCTTAATTCAGCTGCCCATTTTTCAGAAAATAATTGCAAGAAATACCCAAAAATAAGAGATCTAAACATTTTAAATGACAAAGAAAAATGGCATATACCAAGAAGGTAGTTTCTAAAAGGGTAACAATAACAGCATTAGAAACCATGGTTGAAGATTTAAATTCCAAAGAGAAAAAAAATACTCTATGACGAAAGAGAAATGAAATTTCACTCTTAAACTAGGAACGAGAGCTTACTATTAACAGCAAGCCACTCATTTGCATCCTCCCCTGGAGGAAGCCTTACTGCTTCCCTCAGATTTCCACTACCTAGTGTGGCATCAATGTGCTTTCTGAGCTGAGCACCCTGCATTTGCATAAACCAATTTGTAGAAAATCAGCCAAGCCTAGCTTACAATCAGAAAACCCCAGAAACTGTTCTCTTTTATATAATGGTCCTGGAATTGAAAAGAAAAATGTTGCATATGTTTTTAGAAAATCATTAATACACCTTGTATAATAATTGTATTCACAAGTTTTTTTTCTGATAATTGAATAGATATTTCATTAATCAAGAGGATAAAATTTTTACAGGCATCCCTAGGAGAGGCACTAGATGTGACCTCTCCTTTAACAGTGGTTACTGGTTAAGCAGCCCAATATAATAATTCCCAGGAAGTCCATTGTTTAGCAAGAAAATTATCCATTGCATTTGCTGACCTGCCCACCCATTGGATTCTAATTGTCATGTGCCTTATTAACCATTTCACTTTTTTTTTTTTATGATGTCCCTGTAACTCCAAATGACAGAATCTGGATCCAACAGCCATCCCACAACCACCTTTGAGTCTTCTTCAATTAGTAGCTTTTCCACCCCAATCTGGTTGGCACTTGGCAATCTGAATCCCTTGTACTGCAGCTAATAACTCAACCCTTGTAGAATCAGCTATTCCCACCAAGCCTGAGAACAAGGATATGATATTGCTGTTCATTTCTCAGGCCACTTCAATACCCAACAGTCCTGGATTACCATGATGAAGATTGTATTCACAAAGTTTTGGAAGAATACAAACAAGGGTAACAAAATCATTGGCAGCTCAGAAGTCCAATGTGGAAAACAGTAACAATCTTCATCATGTCCTCTGCCCAACAGAATAATGATCAAGCATTCAAGAAAAACTATTTTATCCCAACTATATGTGGCTGGCTACATGAATCCTGCTTCACTATTCCATTCTGTTTAATGTCATATCAGTGTTAAATTATGAGTTCTTAAATCATTTCTTACTACTTTGACCCATGCCATTTTTGGTCTACTCCTAGCCCTTCTAGCCCCTTCAACTTGCAACAGATCACTTCTTCTTACAGGTGCAGTCAGGGGTCTTCTATGCATGTGACTAAACCATCTTAGTCTACTTTATCTCATTTTATCACCTATTGTTAGGGAACATCTAATAAGCATGGAGGTAAGAGGTTGAAGTCGACAGGCAACCTACACCTATGGTGAAGACAAGAAGGGACCTAATATGATACATTCTGGATATGCTACGTGATGAAGGGAAATTTGGCCCGACCTCGTAACAAGGAGACACGTGGACGTGACTCGGCATAAGTGACAACTCAACATGATCAGACCGGCACGTGGACATGACTTGACACAAGTGACAGATCAGTTCGCTACAAAGCAACCTCGGGTAACCTGATACCCCGAACTAAAGTCACCCCGGTATCATATCGCGACCAGGATAACGATATCGAGTCCGCTACAGATCGAACCCGGACAGATGGACCACCTCAGAAAGAATCCACCTCGAGACAAGCCTACCTCGGTGTAAGATCACCTCAGTACTAAGGCACTTTGGCATTTAGAGCATGTCGGGCAGCTCGCCACCAAGCAGCCCGGCACTTCACAGGCAGCTCGCTACCTAGTCAGGTCGACCTCCGCATGACAACCCCGAGGATCTCACCACCGTACCCCACATCTTACGGGACCGTACTTTGTAACGGCTACATTAGCTCACCCACTCCCCGATTCAAGCGGAGGTGGGCAACCTTACCGGTTGGTGGCATTATCCCCACCTAACACGGAAACGGATCCCATCACAACGCGGATCCAGGAACCACTCCACCAAACCCACATGGACTCTGGTATATAAAGACCTCACCCCCCAGGGGCGAAGGTATGATGTGTGTAATCTTTGCTCTCTAGCTCTCTATTTCTCTGATATCATCTTCAAGCTCTCTACTACTAAGTGCTAACTTAGCCATCGGAGTGTCCCTGCCGGGTAAGCCACCCCGGGATCTCTGACTCCTTTCTTGTAGGAACCTCAGTTCTTGTTGTTGCTGGCCACCAGATCGTCTCCAGTAGGGAGCAGCCGGATTACGCCACATCACTATGTATCTCATGAACTCATTAGAGCTTAGTGTGGTGAGAAATGGGCAATGGTATGCTATGACAATCCTTGGAGGTGACGTGCCACAACAATGCTATTTGTGATGAGAAATAGTCACAATTTAACAATGGATATGGCACTGAATAGAATGAAATGGTAGAAAGGGATTCATGTAGCCAACCCAAATAGTTTGGACAAAGCTTAAATGATGATGATGGTGATGATTTGATCTCTTGAAAATACAATTAGAGGCAATGGTATTTTTTTTATCAGCAAAAAACTTATTGTATTAATTAATTATAAGTAGGAACAAATTACCAATCCATGTAAGGAGAAAACATAATATAACAGATAAAAAAAAGAAGGATAAATGGTCAATAACCTCATATATTTATAACAAACAAAAGGAGATAACATAATTCCTTAATGGAACAGAGAACAGACCTTACTGCCTGAGGGTGCACTCTTTTTTGGGCGAAATGTCTTTTGGTTTCTGTTTACAAATCAATCAATTATTAAGGGTATCTAGAAAAGTTATGCAAGATAAAGTTCCATGAGACATTAAGAATGAACTTCTGAGGATTCAAATGCCTAAGGAGGATAAACAACCATGATGATTACAACCTATCTCTATATAAATTAGCTTCATGAAAAAAATGCAGTTCATCTTTTCAAGACATAATCAATGGAATGAATAGAGTACTTATAAGGAATAAACAGAATGCAAATACTAAATCTTTTAAAAGATTTGTTTTATTACATACAAATGGAAGTTTTGAAGAAAACCAGGGCAAAGAAAGACAAATAAAACTACAAACCTCAAAAAACTCACAAACTAATGACCAGAATAGTAATCCTCAACACCACAAATAGACACAGCTGATCCTAGCGTGGAAAAAAAAGCCAACAACATCTATCTAAGAACATCTAACAATTTTACCTCTGACAAGTATTGAGGAAGTTACTAGCCCTGTAAGCAGCTATAACATTCCAAAAAATGAATACCAACAATTTTACAATGCATTTGTTTAGCGTCCAAAAAGAATACACAAATGCACATACAGCATGGGCTATCATGAGTACAGATTCAACCTTAGAAATAACAAACAAGAGTAAATCCAAAGGTGAAAATTAATATGTCATATGTAACAGATCAAGTCATCTTATCCATTCAATTTAAGCATATTAATGATGCCTGTCCACAAGCCATCACTTAGAAGGCTAGAACTTGATAAATTTCAATTCTAAGCAAATTTGACACATAAAGAAAAAAGAAAGTCGGGAAAATGTTAAATCAAGAAACAGAAGTGATAACAACTACAACTGGAGTCTATACTAACATACACATTAAGTTCTAGAAATTCAGTAGCGGTAATTTAAAGTAGAAAATCCCTAACATAAAGCAAGGAAAAAAAAAGCTTGGTTTAACCATAAAAGCTAATTCTTTTAACCCTTGAATTTGATCCATGTTTAAGGGGCCACTTTAAAACTTTATTGATAAAAGAGATTCACATGAACACTATCTAACATTGACCAATAATTTGTGTATACAAGGTCCATAAGATCAAGTGAAGCTTACATGTAGGAAATTGAGGTTAAGGAAATGCTGAAGAGAGAAGGATAGTCAAAAAGAGTTACAACTGAGAAATGAGAGGTTTGAGGAGTTTACCAACTCAACTCTATTTTTTTTTTTTTTTGTTAATTGAAGGGAACAAAACCACATAAAATAAAGGACATAATTTGTATCACGAAGCATAAAGGCCTGATTTAGCTAAAAAGCAAGTTTATATACAGCACAGCTAAACTACTTGAGGAACAAGGAAAGCCCCTAAATTTAGTAAATAATAATCCTCTCAACAATGCCCATTTAAATTTATGTTTTCCAATAAGCAGACATTCTTAATATTTTGATCATCATCATCATGAATCATATTCTAATAAGCAGACATTCCATCTGGGGCTATATCTTTATAATGTTTGACTGGGATTTTGATTTTATAAGATTGCCCTATGGTTTTGCTGTTTGGAGAGGCATTCAAAGAGCTCTTATGGAGTTTAGAAAAGGTATCAAGTACACAGTGGGAGATGGCATCAGAATTAAATTCTGGTCTGACATATGGAGTTTAGAAAAGGTATCAAGTACACAGTGGGAGATGGCATCAGAATTAAATTCTGGTCTGACACCTGGTGTGGAGATCATCCACTTAAAGAGAGCTCCCTTATCCTCCTTGAGACTGCATAGAACAAAGAGTGCCTGGTTGCTGAGGCTTTACTTGGGTAGCAGGTTCAGTAGATTGGTGCCCTATGTTTAGAAGGGATCTAAATGACTGGGAGGTTGAGATGTGGATGGAGCTGATCCAGCAAACCTCGGCCATTACACCTGATAGTATGAGCAGGGTAAGAAGGTAATTTCACAGTCAGATCCTTCTACAATAAGCTCACAGAGGTGGAGATGATGGACTTCCTAGCAGCTAAAGTGTGGAATACTGAAGCTCCTCCAAGAGCTGCTTTTTTATTATGGGTGGTAGTGCTGGGTAAGTGTTTGACAGCAGATGTCTTGGCTAGGAGAGGTCTGAATGCGTTCCCTAGCAGATGTGTAATGTTTGGGGGAGCTTCTGAAGGTTTAGATCATTTTCTGATTCACTGGACGGTTGGGAGAAACCTTTCGGCAAGGTTTTTGGGGCTGTTTGAAATTCATTTTTGTTTTCCAGAAAATGTATTGGTGGTACTAAGGAGTTGGCAGCTGAAAGGTGTTTCTAAGGAAGGCAAGGTTATTTGGGGAGTAGGACCAGCTTTAGTGGTTTGGACAATATGGATGGAAAGGAACAAAAGATTGTGTGAAAATAAGTTTATTACAGAAGAGAATTTACCGAAAGGATTTTGAGGTAGGTTGTATTCATTGGGGAGTAGGACCATCTGAGTCTACTTTCTCTTGTTTTATCACCTATTGGAACTATTCCTAAGTTCCTGCGAATGACTTCATTTCTGATCTTATCATTTTTAATTTTTACACTCATCCATCTTAGCATACACATTTCTGCCACACTCATTTTTTTAACATGTTTCTTGACTGCCCAATACTCTGCTCCATATGGCATAGCTTAGCCTTACAACTGTTTTATAGAAAATTCCCTTTTTTTATCAGCTTATAGAATTTTCCTTTTTTTATCTAAGTGGTATTTGTCTATCACATAAAACTCCGGACACACCCTCCATTCTGCACATTCTACTCTGATTCTATGGGTGACATCCTCTTCAATCTCTCCCTGGTTATGAATTATTGAAACAAGATAACGGAAAAAGGTCACATTGAGCTATCTCTTGGTCTCCAATCCTACATCATGACATTTAATATTGTGATATCAAGTGATAGCCTTTATATTAAAGTCATAACATTCAAAATTACCTGCACTCAATTATGTTACAGAATTTGTGTACGCTTGTAGAGTTGGAATATTAAATGCTGACCATAAGACTGGGATTTCTAACAAAGAGTTGGTCCTTGAAGAAAATAAATTTATCATAATTATCCCCTCCTATCCACTATTTGCATTTGGCTTCCAATAAAGGCTTTGATCATATTTATTGTGTTCTGAAATTAACCTAAATATAAATATGGTTATTCAGATATTTTGGTGTCTCCATTCTAAAAATACGATTGCATGTTGTGCAACTTACCGCTTACTTTACATACTTAATACAACGGTGCCAGAATAGTTAAAGCAGTGCCTAGGCATTAACTAGATGGCCACCTATGCATTTTGGAGGCCCATCACCCAGCTGGCCAACTAGGCAAGCAGTATAATATAAACATATAAGTTGGGGCAAACAACTAATTATGTTCCCTTGTTTATTGATACGAGTATGAGTAATTGATTTTTAGTAGATGTGAATGCATTTAGAGCTAAAAAACAGAGCTCTTAAACCTTGTATATATGTCTGTTATACTTTGGAACAAAGAGGTTATTCAAAAATCTTGTCATTATTTCTGTAATAATTATGTATGGTTAAAGACATAAATTATAAATGTGACCTAGGTAAAATCTAGTTGTCACCTAGGCATTTACTCATTTTACCAGGCCAAAATGCCTACAAATTGCCTAGCTGCCTTAATTAAACTGGATGGTGCATCAGTAAATCAATGCAACCTTAAATTCAAACATCATCTCAATTCTCAATGTGACCTCTAACTTTGATAGATTGGTTTCTCTTTCCATTTTAATTGGCACTTTTTTGAAAGAAAAAATTAAGTTTCCCAATCAACAAATAGTAAAGACCTTCCACTTCCAATTGATATTAATATTAACTATACTTTAAGGACTCCCATATATTTGCAAGACTAGCAATGTCAATTCTGCTTTAAGGACACAAAAATATTGACAATCCTAGTAGCACCCTTAGCAAAAGGAGAATTTTCTAAAAGGAAAAGCATCTAAATGCTCAAAACTCAAATATTTGTGATATAATACTTAATGTAAACCATTAAATTCACATTAAGTTTACTGAAATGTCTAATATTTTCATGCACATATGCAATCTCCAATATAATAATCTCCTATAAAATGCAACATTAGCATTACTTGCACAACCAGAATTCAAGTAAACAAAATTTCTAAACCCACCCCACCTAACCCCAGCTTCGTCTGCCCCCCTCCCCCCCAAAAAAGCACAAAAAAAAAAACACTTAGAATATCACTTTTTCTTACAAATACTTGCTGAAAATTAACTTAAATAGTCTCAGCGCAAAAAGAGAAAAATGAAAATAAGCATTAAAAGGATTTTCGGTAGAAGAATAGCAGAGGTAAGAGACTTTTTGAGTTCTCAGTCAAGACAGAATTTAAAACTCACATGCACAAAGAAATCAGATACTCAAAATACCCATCAATAATTATATTAATAAAGTAAATCTTAAACGAAAGATGAAAAATACTGAAACGAGAAAGAAAAGAGCCGAATTAATCAAAACAACAAAACCGACAGTAAGAAACAAAACTAAACCAGGATCAGAGTTTTTTCACTACCCAAATCAGAGAAAAATGGGAGAACTAATCAATTTACTTGCCCAAAAGTAAGCGATCCCAAACCAACCCCATATGAAAATATACAAGAACAGAGGTAAATCGAAAGCAAGAAAACAGAACGAAATAAAAGAGAAAAGGAATTTGCTAGAAACAGAACAAAATTTACCTGCCCAGGCCAAAGAGGCTCATGGCGAGAAAGAAAGAGGGAATGACAGAGAAGAAGAAAGGACTAAGGGTGTTGAGAATTCAGAATGCTTGTTTTTCACAAGTGTTAGCGTTGAAACTAGGAAGGACGTTCTCCAAAAGTGATTCCCAACTTAAACAGCCAGAGACGGGTCGGGCAGCTCCGGCTAAGCTGCCCGGGGCGGCCATTATTCGCGGGCAGCTTTAAGGGAAAGCATCGAAAAAAAGAGGTCTCCCACCTCAACGACAACGACATTTTATAAATTGGGGTTTAATAGCTGCGGTGAGAGCCATGACCGTTCTGTGAAACTGTAAAATTGTTTCAGAAGAGAAAGCTCTCTCGCCTCTCATGTTATTCGGATTCCCCACTATCGTGATTCGGAGCCAATGACTCGTACACAGTGGGGCCTCGTAGTCGTAGACTCATCGAACCAACAAACATCACCGCTTTGCAAATTGCAATCCTTGGCTCCTTGCTACAGATAGTACAGAGTACAGACACAGTCACTCTCCTCGTACGTTAGAGGGTCCTATTACCTGCCCCCTTAAAGAATGCACTGTGTTAGTTACAGATTAAGGGGTTGGCTTGAATTGAAGTCAACCCTAAGTCCTTCACCCAATCCGATATATTGAAACCGACTCTTTTATTAGGGCCAGGGCCCAGGGTAAGTCTGCAACCTGGGCAGGGTTGACCCGAACCCTACCCTAACCCAACCGAAAAGATCGGGTTGATGCTCGAGGTATGAACCTAACTCTATTTCGGGTTGGGTTAGGGTTGACCCCTCGAGCAATTTGATCCAACTCTATACTATATATCATATATAAATATGTATTATATATATGATATATCACAATTTGATTTGTTTAGATGCATTTATTTCCTTTAAGATAATCACTTCACTTGATACTAATTAGAAATACTAAAAAACATATTTTATGTTTTTTAAATATTTTACGGAGAAGTACGGACAGGCCCAATGTAGATTTCTGATTTTCACTAGAAAGCTATAAACATTCAAAAGGTCAAAAGCCCAAACTCTATGCATTCATATCCGCTTGTGAATTGGTATCAATTTCGATCTATCACCTACTCCAAATGTACTTTGAGCCTACAAATTTTGACCTTGGGATGAATCTTCATTCTCCCAATATTTTATTCTTTATCTCCTCTTTATTGTTTGCCACCCATAGCTTACTGCCAATAAAAGATCTATTATACGTCATAGCTCATAATAAACTATTATCATTTCAAATACTTTTTTTTTCTAAATTATGTACTTAAAGAACCAATAAAAACATCAAAAAATAAATACTAATAAAACATAGGATTAATATATGTAGTGAAAGTTGAGTTAAGATCTGAATTTAGAGTTTGTACGAGATTTTTAAGGGATGGGAAGAAAGTTAGGTTGAGACTTCAGGTTAGGTTATGGTTGAAAAAATTTAGTTAGAATTAGGGTTGGGTAGGTCAAATTGAAAGTCGAGTTGAATAAGAGTTAAGGTTAGAGGTTTAAAACTTAGGATTGGCCTCAACCCAACCTAACCCGGCCCAACTTGCAGCCCTAGCCCAGGGGTACAAGCCAGGCTAGGTTAAGGTCAACCCTAACCCGGTAGACGTTATTGAAATCTCGATCCAACCTAATAGTGATATGATTTGGGACATTGGGCGCATTGATTAGCGAACAGGTTGACTAACTTTAGCATAAATGCATATAATAATGGGAGAAAAAGTTAGGATGCTTTACTACTGTACCAGTGTTCCTCTTCTTTATTAAAACTAATGTATAAGAACGTGCAGCAATTATCAATCATATATTTATAAATATATGATATATGGTATAGTGTAAGAGCAGTGTTATGCAGTTGTCCAAATAAATATTAATCATATATGATATATGATAATTAGATTTAATTTTATATAAAATATAAGGCAAATATGTAGGGATTTTATTGTTCAATCCATCTTATAAATCTTTATGAGTTGTACAGTTGAGAACAGTAATAAGTGGGGAATTTAAATAACATAACATAGGTGGGGGTTTGGGACAATACATTTAAAAAACCAATAAAAATTTTTTATAGAGAGTAGACCATGTATTTCCCTAGCATAATAGATATGAATATAGAATTTCCTTTGTATTTTTTCTTTCTTTTGAGAAAGTCCTTTTTATTAAAATGTTTTCACTTGTTAGGATAATATAAGGTTGGTTGATTTTAGCATTAATCTTTTTTTTCCAATAGCATTAATCTTTACTATACAATGCTCATACTTGCTTTGGATTCATGTCCAGGTTGTAAAGTTAAATCAAAATATTTTAATGGCATCATAAAATGTAAATGTTTATAGGTCGTAGTTTGTTTAAATATTTTAATCTTTAAATCTAAAGGCATGAGTAGAGTGAAAAGTCTATCAAAGCCCATGTTGTTTCATCTTTTTATCCTTTTTATTTTTGGAAAATTTATTTAAACTTCTTCTATTTTTCTAATATAAATGCTTAAACCTCTCTTGTATTTTAACCTTTTCAAGAACCTTCATGTTTCGAATAAATATACCAACACGCCCATTCCGTTGATTATTCTATAACAAAGATGCTAAAATCATGATTATGCCCTTGTTATAAACGTGCAAAGTGACACCATTATTCTCTCTTCAGATTGTTTACTAGTGGTGACTATGCAATTCACGGGTTGTTGTTTAAAAATTTATTTTCAAGGAAAAATGGAATAATATTATTTTCTAAAAATTTATTTTCTAGTTCTTTAAATATAAAATAGTAGAAAAATGTTTTCCTTTTTTTTAGTTTGGGTCTAAAAAATAATTTTTTACTGGATCCGCAAAATTGGGTCCAAATTAGGGTTCATATTTAGAATTGGCCCTTAAACCAACCCAATACACCTAATTTACTCCCCTACTTTATTAGAGAGAGCCAAAAAAATTAAGAGATATTTAAGAGAAAAAATAGGTTTTAATGGGAAGGGAAGATGTTACTAACATTGACTATTAAGGTGGGTGAGAGAGAGAGAGAGAGAGATCTAAGAATAATCTTATTAATATAAGAGTAAATATGGATTCTAGCTATAAGAGACAATGAAGACCCATGAGTGTTTTAATTTTGAATTGTTATATTTTAATGATTTAATTTAACTATCTATCTATCTATATATCTTTATTTTTTAGGACTAAAATTACCCTTTATTTATTTGTTTGAGAAAAGGTATAAAAGTCATTTTATTATAGTTTTAATAACTATTTAGTCCATCTCTAATTGTAAGGGGTGAAAATATAATTTCAATTATTACTTTCTACCTCATTTAATCCCTCCTCATTAAGTCTTATAGTATTAACTCCCATTTTCTCTTATTAAATCCTATATTTCAGTTATTTTTCACTAATAAATGATATTAGTTAGATTTATGTCAATATTTTTAACAATATAAGCCCATATATATTTTAAAACTTACTCAAAAATAAAACCATTCTTTATCCAAGAGGTGGTTAATCAATTCAACAATTTGAATCAAATTGATCAATCTATTGTTATGGACACACCGCCCAGCAGCACGCACCGCCCAACAGCGCGCAGCATGCACTGTGCGGCAGCAGCACTAGGCAGCAGCACTAGGCAGCAGCACTAGGCAACAGCACACACCACACGGCAGCAGCACTGTGGTGTGTGCTGTGTGTCCAACAGCACACACCACACGGCAGCAGTAGTAGAGCGGGGCCCACACGATAGTTCATCAGGGGCCCACTTACCTTGCCACTCTAGCCAACTCACCGCCAGCTTACCTTATCCCCTATCCCATCTACTTATCCCCTGTTCTAAGTAGGAGTTGTGTTACCAGTAGAAATAAGAAGTTAATTACCATTAGAAGTAGGAGTTTGAGTTTCGATAAGAGATGGATTATCTTAGTCGAGTACAACAAGGAAACCCTCTTGTAATCTCCTATTTAAAGGAGCTTGGATTTGGAATAAAGGCATTGAATTTTCGATCAAGAAAGAGCTTGGGAGAGTTAGGGTGATCTCTTGGACAAATCACCCCCCTAGTTCGCCACAATAGGCTCAACACGCAAAGGGAAGGGCAAGGGAAGGCTAGGAGTTTTCCCCGTGACGAGATCCTACGCCCGGGCCCATAACATTTTGGTATCAGAGCCAACCGTCATGGGAGATCTGGAGTAGCTATCATCCAGGGTCCACGAACTGGAGCATAGGCTCGGGGAAACCAACGTGGAGGTTCGTGAGGTCAAAGACGATGTCTGGAAGCTGCGATGCTTGCTGGAATCGTATTTCTCTAACAAGGAGAGGAATCCAAAAGGGGCTGTAACCACAAACAGCCACCGACCAGACTTGACGGAGTCGTCCAGCGAACAGCAGGTCGTCGCCCCGATAGCCACAGTCATCCCCAAGTACAGCAGGCTGGAATCCCCGTCGTACAACGGCAACGGAGACCCCTTAGGCTGACTGTACCGCTGCGAGCAGTTTTTCCGGAATCAATGAACAGATGACACAGAGATAAGGCTGATCCTGAAACTGATGAGGTTTATGTGCAGATGGCTCTTCAACCTGTAAATAAATATGACAAGGAAGCATTATTGGCATTGGACATGGGGCTCAAGCAAAGCAAGCAACCCACTGAGTTCTTTTGCAAAACACTTACAACTAGTGATACGAACACTCATGGTGGATTTTCTGTACTTCGCCGGGCAGCAGAGAAGATCTTCCTACCTCTAGATTTTTCAATGCAACCCCTAGCCCAGGAACTAGTAGCAAGAGATTTGCATGATGTTGCATGGACATTCAGACATATCTATCAGGGTCAACCAAAAAGACACTTGCTGACTACATGTTGGAGTGTGTTTGTTAGCACAAAAGGACTCCTTGCTGGTGATTCTGTTCTTTTTATAAGAGATGAAAAGTCACAGCTTCTCCTGGGTACAAGGCGTGCAAGCAGACAGCAACCAGCCCTTTCGTCATCAGTCATATCTAGTGATAGCATGCATATTGGAATTCTTGCTGCCGCCGCCCATGCTGCTGCAAATAATAGTCCATTTACAATATTTTATAACCCAAGGGCCAGTCCTTCAAAATTTGTTATTCCGTTATCAAAATATAATCAAGCAATGTACACCCAAGTTTCTCTTGGGATGAGATGTAGGATGATGTTTGGGACTGAGGAATCAGGGGTATGCAAATACATGGGGACAATAACAGGTATCAGTGATTTGGATCCTGTGAGATGGA